TATTTGTGTGTCTGTGTTTCTAAGCCTGTGACTTCATCTATGTGTGTTTGTGTGTGTGTCTATACCTGTGTCTATGTATATGTTTATGTGTATTTGTATTTGTGTGTCTGTGTTTCTAAGTGTGACTTCGTCTGTGTGTGTGTGTGTCTATATCTGTGTGTATGTCTATGTGTATTTGTGTGTCTGCGTTTCTAAGTCTATGATTTCGTCTGTGTGTGTGTCTGTGTCTATATCTGTGTGTATGTCTATGTTTATGTGTGTTTGTGTGTCTGTGTTTGTGTCTAAGTCTATGACTTTGTCTGTGTGTGTTTGTGAATGCATCTGTGTCTACGTCTTTGTCTATGTGTATGTCTGTTGTGACGGATGCATTAAACCTCTGAATCAGAGCAGCCCATGTCTCGCTCACAGCGATACTACCAGCCAGAGCAGGATTGTGGCACTGGCTCTTCAGCCTCAAGTCAAATTTCTCCAAGGGCAATGTTTTCACCTGTATGTCCAGAAGAGTTTGCACCCTAGGAGAGGGGCCCTACATTATGAGTCTTGGCACATTTTCTATTTCTTCCCAAGAAAGAGAATGAGAGATACACACACACACACGCGCGCGCACACACACACACACACGGAGGCAGAGAGAGAGAGATCGAGTGAGAATGCTTGCTAGCTTTGTGAGATGGTGTGTGTTTTTTGCTCTGGAGCATAGACAAATCCTCTTCAGTGAGATGCCATAGTCTGTAGGCTTACAAGCCAAATGTCTCCAGGGAGATAAGATTCTCTAGATGTATCACCCTAGAATGTGGGCCAATATCTTTGGAGCAATACTTAATCTCTAATTTCCAAGGGAAATTGCCATTTAATTCTCCTGTAACTCAGATTGCCAGTAACTTTTTCTCAGAAATTTTTCATTAAAATGTTCATGGGTCATTGAGTCTTCCCAATAGGGACCAAGAGGAGGCAAGGAAGCCAGAGAGGAAGGTCATGAGGTGGGGGCTCTGGCCGTGGTGACCAAGAGGGGTCTAGGAGTGCAAGATGGACTTGGATTTCTGGAAAAAGGATGAATCTTCAGAGATTGTCTCAGATTAGACTCAAGAGCCCTCAGAGCTAGTGTGACTTTTTGTTGGGGGCGGGGTTTGGGGTTATTGCCTTCTCTCCAGGATGAAGACGGGAAGGAGTTGTCTGATGAGGACATAAGAGCAGAAGCTGACACCTTTATGTTTGAGGGTGAGAGCCCCAGTGTGGGGCTACAGTGGGGACCGAGATCTCTCCATTCCACAAACAGGGTGGTTGGAACAGTAGGTCCAAACCCCCCAGCCTTCCTGTCCCCCTTCCCTCATCCTCCCTGAAGTCCTCAATGTATGGGTGCTGTCCACCCTTGGGTGCTGAAGCAGCCCAGAGACCCAAGCCTGCCTTGCTGCCCCTCAGGCCATGACACCACGGCCAGTGGTCTCTCCTGGGTCCTGTACCACCTTGCAAAGCACCCGGAATACCAGGAACGCTGCCGACAGGAGGTGCAAGAGCTTCTGAAGGACCGTGAGCCTAAAGAGATTGAATGGTGAGTGCAGGTGCTGGTGGCTGTTCCTGAGCCTCTCTCGTTGACTCTGTTCCCCAGGTGGGAAGGGGAGAGGGGTTGTTTTTGTTGATTCTTCCACTGTTGCTTAGTGGGAATAGGAGCAGAGAACCACAGGCAGGACTTAATACCCAGCCTGACTGTCTGGGGAAAGGTTACAGGCCCTTAGGTTACAGAAAGACCTGGGCTTCTGAGAGAATTGGTGATGATATGTGAGGACAGATCATGCCACTTAGCACATGTTCAGCAAATGAACTTCCCCTCCACTCTCTTCCTTTTCTCCCAGAAATATCATTTTTTTCAAACATCTTCACTTGTTGAATGTTTGCTCTGCTGTTCCCTAATTCCTACCCTTCTGTCCAGTCCAGGGATTTATAAGGGAGACCTGGGGGTAAAATTTATCCATTCTAGTCCAGAACACCTGCATCGTTCATCCATCCCGTCCTCATTCAGCAAACGCTCCCACGCTGCATTCCCTCCCCCACATCTGTGCACAGCATCTTTCTGTGCTCTGGAGAACTGGGAAGGACCCAGCCCAGGGATCTGTTTTCCAGGTGCTCCCAGCCTGGTGGGGGAACTGTCCCTGGGCAGGACACTCCCAGCCCACACGGGCAGGGGTGGGGTTTGCAGTCAGAGAAGCAGGACTGGGGAGTATAGAAAGTGTCTCAGTTGAGAGCCTGAATAATGATCTGAATAATGATTAGTAGATAATTGGGTACAGTTAGGGAGCAGTGCTCTAGGTCAAGAAGACTGCCTGGGATCTTCACAGGAGGAAGAGAGAGAGAGGAGAGAGAGAAAGAGAGAGAGAGAGAGAGAGAGAGCGCGAGAGAGCAGGGTAGGGGGCAGAAAGGAGAAGGAGAAGGGGAGAGAGAGGGAGAAACTCGGTCATGGTGAGATGATAAAACTGGGGCTGGCTGTGGTAACCTTGGCGAAAATGTTAATGGCTTCAGTTTAAGCCCAAGGGCAATAGGGAGCCATGGGAAGTGTTTGAGCAGGGGAGGGACAGGTCACATCTGGGTACCAGAAGATCTTTCTAGGGCTAGTGTGGAGGACATTCTGGAGAGGACTAGCTGTAGAATGAGGGCACAGTGGGGACATTCTGAGGCCCGAGCCAGGCCAGGGGCTGGAGGAAGGAGAGGAAGCATTGGAGTGGATGGGTGTCTTGGATTCAGTGTCCTCCTGTCCATGCCTTTGCTCAGCACAGCAGCCCTGTGAGGAGGAGAAACGTTTTTCTGCTTTTAAAACCAATACTTTTTCTGCATTTTTAACAAACAATTTTTTATTGCTGCATAATAGATGCACATAGATTTGAAATGCACGTGATAATCTGATACATTCATATAATTGGCAAAGATCGGATCAGTGTACCTGGGATATCTGTCGCCTGAAATATTTGTCTTTTCTTTATGCTAGAAACATAACTAACATAAGCTAACTATTTTGGTATGTACAGTACATATCGTAAACTGCAGTGAGCCCACTGATCTATCGAGTGCTAGGTTTTATTTCTCCTATCAAACCTCTCATTTGTGCCCGTTAATCAACTTCTCCTCACCCCTCCCTCCCTTCTACCAATCTACCTTCTATTTCATGAGATCCGCTTTTTCAGTTCCCACATGTGAGTGAGAATATGTAATATGTGTCTTTCTGTGCTGGGTTTATTTACTTACCACAGTGACCTCCAGTTCCATCCATGTTGCCGCAAATGACAAAATTCCAGTCTTTTTAATGGTGGCATAGTATTCCATTGTGTATACACACCACATTTCCTTCCTTCCTTCCTTCCTTCCTTCCTTCCTTCCTTCCTTCCTTCCTTCCTCCCTTCCTTCCTCCCTTCCTGCCTTCCTTTCTTCCTGCCTTCCTCCCTCCCTCCTTTCCTTCCTCTCTCTCTTTCTCCCTTTCCTTCCTCCCTCCCTCTCTCTCTCTCTCTTTCTTTCCTTCTTTCTTTTTTTGAGACAGAGTCTCGCTCTGTTGCCCAGGCTGGAGTGCAGTGGCACGATCTTGGCTCACTGCAACCTCTGCCTCCCGGATTCAAGCTATTCTTCTGCCTCAGCCTCCCAAGTAGTTGGGACTACAGGTGTGCACCAACCACGCCTGGCTAATTTTTGTATTTTTAATAGGGATGGGGTTTCACCATATTGGCCAGGCTAGTCTCGAACTCCTGACCTCATGATCTGCCTGCCTCGGCCTCCCAAAGTGCTGGGATTACAGGCATGAGCCACCACACCCGGCCGCCACATTTTCTTTATCCATTCAGTTGATGGGCACTTAGGCTGAATGCACATTTTGGCTGTTGTGAATAGTGCTGCAATAAACACGGAAGTATAGGTATCTCTTCAACAGATTTATTTCCTTTCTTTGGGATAGAAATTTCTTGTCTTTCTTTTCAGTAGTGGAATTTCTGGGTTATACGGTAGTTCTAGTTTTAGTTTCTTGAGGAACCTCTGTGCTGTTCTGTGCAGTAGCTACTCTAATTTATATTCCCACCAACAGTGTGTGAGAGCTCCCCTTTCTCTATGTCCTCACCAGCATCTACCGTTGCCTGTCTTTTTGATAAAAGCCATTTTAACTGGGATGAAATGATATCTCTTTGTGGTTTTGATTTGCATTTCCCTGACGATTAGTGACATTGAGCATTTTTCCATCTACCTATTGGCCATTTGTATGTCTTCTTTTAAGAAATGTCTATTCAGATCTTTTGACCAGTGTTAAATAAGATGATTTGATGTTTTTTTTTTTTTTCCTATTGAGTTGTTTGAGCTCCTTATATGATATATTCTGGTTACTAATCACTAACCCACTTGTCAGGTGGGTAGTTTGCAAATATGTTCTGCCATTCTGTGGGTTGATTCTTCACTTTGTTGATTGTTTCCTTTGCTGTGCAGAAGCTTTTTACCTTGTTGTAATCTCATTGGTCTATTGCCTGTGCTTTTGAGGTCTTACGCAGAGAATCTTTGCCCAGACCCACGTCCTGGAGTATAAAATCCAGATTCAAGCAAAAATTGTGCATGTGGTTAAAAGAAAGAGTCCAAACAATTTATGATAAAGATGAGCTTCCTTATTAAGCTCCACCTTAGCAGTGACTACGGTCAGCAGTTTTCTGTGTATTCTTCCAGAAAGTGGCTATCCCAATGCCCATGTTTATATGAACTCCCACTGTGATTTTTATTTACATGAACATGTACTGTGTTTTTCTTTGTAAATAAAACTATAAAAACAGACGCAGTTCTGCACTTTATCTCTGAGATTTTATATTTCTCTCAAAATATGAGTTTTCAAAAATGAGTTTGTTTTTAAATTTGTTATTTCATTGATAAATTTTAATTATACATATTAGAGGTACAATGTGATGTTATGACGTAGGTGTACAACCTGAAATTATTAAATCAAGGTGATGAACAAATCCAGCACTTCATGTATTTATCATTTTTGTGTTGAGAACATTTGAAATGTACTCTCTTAGCAATTTCAATTAATACATTGTTCACTAAATCACCATGCTGTGCAGTAGATCTCAAAAACTTATTCCTCTTGCATAACTGAAGCTTCTATCCTTTGACCAACATCTCATCCTTCTCTGTCCCTCCCTCAGCCCTGGCCTCTGGTAACCATCATTCTACTTCTATTTCTTTTTTGTTGTTGTTGTTTTTTGAGACAGAGTCTTGCTCTGTCACCCAGGCTGGAGTGCAGTGGCGCAATCTCAACTCACTGCGACCTCTGCCTGCCAGGTTCAAGCGATTCTCCTGCCTCAGCCTCCTGAGTAACTGGGATTACAGGCTCCTGCCACCACGGCCAGTTAATTTTTTTTGTATTTTTATTAGAGATGGGGTTTCACCATATTGGCCAGGCTGGTCTTGAACTCCTGACCTTGTGATCTGCTCCCCCCGGCCTCCCAAAGTGCTGGAATTACAGGCATGAACCACCACGCCCGGCCTCCACTCCTATTTCTATGAGCTTGACTATTTCAGGTCCCAGGATAAGTAAGATCATGTGTGTTTGTGTTTCTGCACCTGGCTTACTTCACTTAGCATGAGTTCCTCCAGGTTCTTCCATGTTGTAGCAAATGAGATAAGTTTTTTTTTTTTTTTTAAGGCTGAATGGTGTTCTGTTGTATATGGAAAATATACATTGAAAATGAGCATTAAATTACAAAACCAATGATAAGGACAGGTTCTTCTTGCACCAAATGAGATATTACAGATAAGACTAGGGTTTTCCTTGACAATTCTGCCACCCCACCTAATCCTTTCTCATTCTCTAAAGGTGTCTCCAGAGCTGTAGATTTGTTATCTATCTATCTATCTATCTATCAATCTATCTATCTATCATCTATCTGTCATCTATCTCTATTACCTATCTATCTATCACCTATCTATCTCTATTATCTATCTAGCTATCTATCATCTCTCTATCTCATCTATCTATCATCTCTCTATCTCATCTATCTATCTATCTATCTATCTCCATTATCTATCTATCTATCTATCTATCTATCTATCTATCTATCTATCACCTATCTATCTCTATTATCTATCATCTATCTATCTGTATTATCTGTCTATCATCTATCTATCTCTATTATCTATCATCTATGTATCTATCTACCTATTATCTATCATCTATGTGTCTCTGTTTCTATCATCTATGTATGTATCTATTATCTATCTTTCTATATCTGTCATCTATCTATTATCTATCATCATCTATCAATCTATCACCTACCTCTGAATCATTCATTTCCATAAATATATATTCATATACTTTTTGCCCTTTTTACGTGCATATATGTATATATTTGTAACTGTTTTTCACTAGACAGTGTGTCTTGATGCTATTTTTTTCTGAGTGGTAAATATTTTATTCCTTATTTATTCATCTCATTCCTATGTTGAAGACACATAAACATTTTCAATGATAGTAGATATTTCCAGTTTGCCTTCCAGATTGTCTGTACTGATTTACCTTCTAGCCTATAGTATGTGATGAGACTAGTGATCCCTATTTCCTCCTTTTGGGTAGCTGTATAGTATTCTCTTGTATGGCTATTTATCTAAACATCTTCCCATCAATGTATATGTGACTTGTTCCTAACCTTTTGCTAAAAGTGGACATGAGTCAGTCAGCATGTGTGCACACTGACCATTCCTTACACGTATAAGCATGTCTGCAGGACAAATTCCCTCAAGTGCAATTGCTGAATCAAAGAACATTTGCATTGTACAATTTTAATTATTGCAAGTCCTTTCCTATTAGCTGAGTTTGATGGCACAAGCTTTCCCATAACTTTACCAATACTACTAATGTATTATTAAATGTTAAAATCTATGCCAATCTTCACCTTTCTTCTTTTGATGGACGTTGTTTTAAATAAGAGTGAGGTTAAACATCTCTTGGACGTTTTCTTTTTGTGGAAGTTGGTCCTTTACTTTTTTACTCTTTTTCTCTGGATTCTTCAAAAATATTTACTTTTAAGAATGTGTATTAAAATTGATTTTTTTTTTTTTGAGACAGAATCTCTGTTGCCCAGGCTGGAGTGCAGTGGTGCGATCTCAGCTCACTGCAACCTCCACCTCCCGGGTTCAAGCGATTCTCCTGCCTCAGCCTCCCGAGTAGCTGGGATTACAGGCGTGCACCACCTCTCCCGGCTAAGTTTTTGTATTTTTAGTAGAGACGGGGTTTCACCATGTTAGCCAGGATGATCTTGATCTCCTGACCTTGTGATCCACCCACCTTAGCCTCCCAGAGTGCTGGGATTACAGCCATGAGCCACCACACCCGGTCAAAATTGATTTTTTTTTTTTTTTTTTCTGTCTTGGGTTGCAAAATATTGCCTTTTAACTTTTGGAGGGTACTTTTGATTAATATCCTTTACTTGCAAAAACTACTACCTTGAGCATATTCAACTTTCGTGAAGTTAAATTGGTCCACATTTTTCTTTCACAACCGTAAAATCCATCAGTTTCCCAGGATTTTATTTTGGACAAGGGCTCTCTTTATCAAATGTGAAGTTTTCACTTACGTCTTTTTCTGAGCTCTCTGTTCTTCTCCATGGGTCTGTTTTCTTGTTTTTGCCACAGTGCCACACTGTTTTTATTACTGCAACTTTGTAACAATTCTTTTTAAAAGTTTATTTCCTTATAGGAAGAAAAGGTCTCACTTGCAAACAGAGAAGCTGATAGTTATGTCTTTCCTCCGTTGATAATGATTGGGGCTGGGTGTTTCCTTAGGGACGACTTGGCCCAGCTGCCCTTCCTGACCATGTGCATTAAGGAGAGCCTGCGGCTGCATCCCCCAGTCCCGGTCATCTCCCGCCATGTCACCCAGGACATTGAGCTCCCAGACGGCCGGGTCATCCCCAAAGGTGCTCACAGTCTCACGGGAAGGAGCCTCCTGGGTAGGAAGAGGGTCCCCGCAGGGAAGGAGGTCTTCTCCTGACTGCCCCCTTCTCTCCCACAGGCATTACCTGCCTCCTCAGTGTTTTTGGAACCCATCACAACCCAACTGTGTGGCCAGACCCTGAGGTGCGGGGCCCCCCTGCCTGCCTCTGTTTTTGTCCATTCCAAGGCTCCTAGAGGAGGGGGCAGGGTTTTGATCAGGAGAATCCAACATCGCCTCCCTCCAAGACACACACAACTGTCTGTTTCTCCAAGGCTGGTGGACCTGGGAGACCCCACCCAGCAACCCTTCTTGGTCTCACCTCCAGGTCTACGACCCCTTTCGCTTTGACCCAGAGAACATCAAGGAGAGGTCACCTCTGGCTTTTATTCCCTTCTCCGCAGGGCCCAGGTAAGGGCGGCCTGTGTCTGAGATGGGGATGGGTTGATGGGTGCAGGGGTCTGGGCATGACAGTGGGGTAAAGGGGGACATTGTAGATGGTCCAAGTTCCAGCTCTCCTTCCCTCACCTCCTCTGGAGTTTATGGGAAAAGGTCCATAGAGTAGGGTTGGGTTGGTCCTAGAAGGGTCTGTGGTGTGCTCAGAGCCCCCTCCCACCCCACCTTGGTCTAGGCTGGGGGCTGGAGCTGGGCTAGGCTTGCAGGATATGCAAGCCCACATGGTGATCCCGGCACAGATACCCCCTTCTCTATCCTCAAGCTACTCTAGGTGGGGTTGGCTGTCCCAGGCCAGGTTCCCGGCTTGAGGGGGCCAGGATGGGGTTCTTGGTTGCAGTCAGAGTTCCCACCCCTCTCCTGCAGGAACTGCATTGGGCAGACGTTCGCGATGGCGGAGATGAAGGTGGTCCTGGCGCTCACGCTGCTGCGCTTCCGCGTCCTGCCGGACCACACCGAGCCCCGCAGGAAGCCGGAGCTGGTCCTGCGCGCAGAGGGCGGACTTTGGCTGCGGGTGGAGCCCCTGAGCTGAGTTCTGCAGAGACCCACTCTGACCCCCACGAAAATGACCCCTGATTTATCAAAAGTGAAGCACAGAATTTACCCTGTGACCCTATTCCACAGTCCTGTATTCCATCCTAGATACCTACTCAAAATAATTGAGACAGGTGTTCAAACAAAAAGACGCTTGTGCATGAATGTTCATGGCAGCCCTATTCACAGTGGCCAAACAATGAAAACAACCCCAAGGTGTATATTACCAGATGAAAGGATAAAACAAAATGTGGTCCATCCATACAATGGAATATTACACAGCTATAAAAAGGAACGAAGCAGTGATCCCTACTACACTGTGGATGAACCTTGAATACATGATACTGAATGAAAGACATCAGATGCAAAAGGTCACACAGTGTGCGGTCCTTTTATATGAAATTTCCAGAACAGGCCAATCTGAAGAGATGTATAACAGATTGGTGGCTTTCAGCAGCTGTGGGGAGGTGGGACTGAGGAGCGACTGCTAATCAGGATGGGGTTTCCTCCTGGGATGGTGAAAATGTTCCAGACCTAGATAGTGACGAAGGTAGTACGACATTGTGAGTGCACTAAATGCTATTGAATTGGACACTTTGAATTGGTGAATTTTGTGGTAGGTGAATTCTACTTCAATAAAAAAAAAAACTATTTTATCTCACACATAATATTTTTTTTCTGTGCGATTGTTCATATAATAATATGCTGTGAGCATCTTTCCATGACATTAAATCATCTTACGAAACATTTTGTGGTCTTCAACATGTGTGTGTTAAGTGTTCAAATCAGTCTTAATTTTAAAAAAAGACATTATGTTAGAAAATAAAAGTGTTTTGTCTCACTTTGTAAGAATTATCTTCTACACATTGACTGTTAGTAACAAATTGAATTATTCTTCATCAAGTAACATTTAGGGTAGAGATCTCATTTTCATAGCAATAGATGCACAAATATTCATGTAAGATACAGGTGTGGTTAGACACCTTTCATAGAACTGGTATGGTTTGGAAATTACACAGATACTGAATGTTTTGGTCGTATTAACAGAAGCAGATCACTGAGAAGGGAGAAGGTGACTTTTCAGCTCCCTCAGGTAAATGCTGATTTCATCCTCACACTGATCTTACAGGTTGTAGATGAACTCGCTTGTTCAAGGTCAACCACTGAAGGGTGGAGTTGGGGGTGAATCTGAGCAGTTTGGCATCAGAGGTCATGCCTTATCGTATCAAGGACATGATTTTCAAAGTGGGTCTCAGCCCTAGGCCCATCAGATCACCTGGGAACCCCTACAGATTCCAGACTGAGTAGATGAGACTCTTTCACAGGTGGTGCCTACATTTGCTTTGTTTTGCTTTTTGTTTCTTTTTGTTGTTGTTGTGAATTCATTTTGTCTTTTTGAGACAGAGTCTCCCTCAGTCTCTCAGGCTGGAGTGCAGCGGTACAACCATAGCTCACTGCAACCTCAAACTCCTGGCCAAAGTGTTGGCATTAAAGGTGTGAGCCACTCCTCCTGGTCCCTTTTTTTTTTTTTTGAGATGGAGTCTCACTATGTCACCAAGCCTGGAGTGCAGTGGCGCCATCTTGGCTCACTGAAACCTCCGCCTCCTGGGTTCCAGCGATTCTCCTGCCTCAGCCTCCTGAGTAGCTGAAATTACAGGCATGCACTACCACGCCCAGCTAATTTTCTGTGTTTTTAGTAGAGACAGGGTTTCACCATGTTGGCCAGGTTGGTCTTGAACTCCTGACCTCAGATGATCCACCCGCCCCGGCCTCCCAAATTGCTGGGGTTACAGGCGTGAGCCACTGCGCCCAGCCCCAAGTTTTTAAATATAATATTGTTGACCAGAAATACATTCATTCATGTAAAAAATAAAATGCCCAGTGAGAAGTGATGGTGCTACCTATGCCTTTCATCTGCCCAGTTTCTTCATGTGTATAAAGATAAATACTTTCACACCTTGTGCATCCTTTCATAGTATATTTAGCCAAACTATGTATAATTAGTCACCCTAATTACATATTAGTATGCCTACATTACAATGAGTGTGCTTACTTGCCACTCCTATATTTTCATGGCTCATCTTAAAATCACATTAAATTTTCAGAATTTGTCGTCTTTGGTGCATAGTTCAGTTTTTTTTTTTTTTTTGAGACAGAGTCTCACTCTATCACCCAGGCTGGGGTGCAGTGGTGCGATCTCTGTTCACTGCAACCTGCACCTCCTGGGTTCAAGCAGTTCTCCTGCCTCAGCCTCCCGAGTAGCTGGGATTACAGGCATGTGCCCCCACACCTGGCTAATTTTTGTATCTTTAGCAGAGACAGGGTTTCACCATGTTGACTAGGCTGGTCTCGAACTCCTGACCTCAGGTGATCTGCCTGCCTCAGCCTCCCAAAGTGCTGGGATTACAGGCATGAGATAGTTCAGAGTTTTGACAAATGGCTAGAGTCATGTAACTACCACTACCATAGCCACCCTTGGTAGTCAAAAACCTCCTTCCACCCCTGACCCCTGAAAACCACTGCTGTCTTCTGTCTTTCTATAGAATTGCTTTCTTCCTGTTGTGTGAATGGGATTATACCATAGGGAGCCTTGGAGTGTCGCTGCTATTGCTTAGTGTAAAGCATCTGAGAGTCTCCCATGTTGTCTGTATCGAGACCCTGTTTCTTCTTACGGCTGGGTAGAATTTCCGGACATGGATGGGACACTCTTTTTTCGTTGGCTAAAGGACAAGTGGATTGTTTCTGGTTTTTGGATATTATGAATAAAACTGCTATGGATATTTGCATACATGTTCTTGGGGGAAACTAAGTTCCCATTGCTGTTAGAATGGGATGACTGAGTCATAGTATCAGTGTATGTTTACCATGATGAGAAACTATCAAACTGTTTCCAAAAGGTCCGTGTCATTTTTAATTCCTATCAGGAATGTATTGAAGTGGCATCATTTTCTGGGGTAAATACCCAAGGTTCATCATCTCACATCAAGGAAATCAAGGACACAGACACACAAGAAGTAAGTTTAAGAGTTGAGGTTTAGGCTGGGCACAGTGGCTCACGCCTGTAATCCAGCACTTTGGGAGGCTGGGGCAGATGGATTACCTGAGGTCAGGAGTTTGAGACCAGCCTGACCAAGATAATGAAACACTGTCTCCACTAAAAATACAAAAAAATTAGCCAGGTGTGGTGGTGCACACCTGTAGTCCCAGCTACTTGGGAGGCTGAGGCAGGAGAATCGCTTGAACCCAGGAGGCAAATGTTGCAGTGAGCTGAGATCACGCCATTGCACTCTAGCCTGGGCAACAAGAGCAAAATTCTGTCTC